TTTCCACCATTAAAATTCTGCCATCTTCAGATGCATATGTCAATTCAGGAAACAAGTTATCTTTAACATAAGTAGCCACTCCTCTTTTCTTTTTCTCCTTGTCACAAGCTACAAAAGTTTTTCCTAATTTTTTATTTTGGAGATATTTTTCATCTTTTCTACATATGTGTGTCTCTTGCAAACAAATTAAATCCAGTTTCTGTTTCGCCAATTGATGTAATATCCTTCTTCTTTTTTGTGGTACATTCAAGCCATTGACATTTACCGATAAAATTTTTATCTTTCCTCTATCCATCATTTTTTCCATTCTGTTGCATTTTTTCTCTTATCAGTTTCCTGGTTCCAACAGGTGATCTTCTCTGGTTGCCTTTGGGTCTCTGTTCCTTGGGTTTTGTCCCTCCTATAGTTCTTTCTTCTTGGGGTCTCTGTTCTTCTTCTTCTTCTGTGTCTTCAGTGGGAAGGAAACAGTTTCGTGCAAAAAATTTTATTCAAGGTATAAGCTTTTGTGTCTATGTACACTTCTTCAGAATTCTGTTTCATTGTATCTGAAGAAGTGTGCTTGCACATGAAAGTTTATACCTTGAATAAAATTTTGTTGGTCTTAAAGGTGCCACTGGACTCAAATGTTATTCTGCTGCTTCACACTAACACAGTTACCCACCTAAATCTACACATTAGAAGGAGGAGGAGGAGGAAGAAGAGATTGGATTTATACCCCGCCCTTCACTCAGAGTCTCAGAGCGTCTTACAATCTCCTTTCCTTTTGCCTCCCCACAACAGACACCCTGGGAGGGAGGTGGGGCTGAGAGAGCTCTTCCAAAAACTGCCCTTTCAAGGACAGCTGTTGTCAGAACTATGTCTTGCCCAAGGTCATCCAGCAGCTGCAAGTGGAGGAGTGGGGAATCAAACCTGGTTCTCCCAGATTAGAGTCTGCGCACTTAACCACTACACCAGACTGTCTCCATAAGGACATACTATCAGATGTGTGCTAAAACATCCTGCATGGGGAGCTCAATTCCAAGGTACATGAAGGGGTCAGTTTGGATTGGAATCACTGTGTGCTGTTTTCCTGGCTTGAAACAGCTCCAGTGGGATGCTGTTTGCCCTACTGAGCAAACTAGTACCTATAGAGTCCCAAATAGCACCCTCTGGGGCCATTACTGGTTGGGTAAATGGTGCAGGGAGGAAAGATTAAGTACCCTCTTGGGAGCCCTGATCCAAATTGGACCCCTGTGTGCCCGAGAAGTGAATTCTTAATGGGAAATTCAGCACACGTCTGATAGAAAGTCCTTGTGACTCTGACATAACACAATGATTGTGCAACATTTAGTGAAGCCTTAAGAGTCCTGTGCAAGAAAGGAAAGATGGAAGAGTATACCTTGGAAATGTGTTACTAAATGATCCCCCAATACCATGAAACTAGTTCCTCATTCAGGTTTCTTTATGTAAAAGACATGCATCCCACCATAGATGCAATCTGGATTAATCGGAACCACCACTGGTTTTAATGGGATGCATGTCTAGCCTTTGAGACATTTTTGCAATATAGTAGGACATCACTCCCCTCTACCAACTGCTATTCCTTATTCTTTTTAACTTTTTTGCCATCATGTCACAGCTGACTTACGGCGACCCTCTGGGGTTTTCAAGGCAAGAGACATTCAGAGGCGGTTTGCCATTGCCTGCCTCTGCATAGTGGCCCTGGTATCTCTTGGCAGTCTCCCATCCAAATACTGACCAAGGCCAACCCTGCTTAGCTTCCAAGATCTGATAGTTTTGGGCTAACCTGGGCTATCCAGGTCAGAGCATCACATGACTGCTGAAATCATGATCTCCTTTTGGCATCTTTTCCAGTTTTGTCATTTTATGATGTTTGGAATCGCAGCTCCTGCCAGCCCATGGAAAAACTGGTTAATATTGTATCTGAGTACCCCTGTGAGGTGGAGCACATGTTCAGCCCTTCCTGCGTCTCCCTGCATCGCTGCAGTGGATGCTGTGGAGATGAGACCCTTCACTGTGTACCAACAGAGATGACCAATGTCACCATGCAAGTAAGAGATTGTTCTATGCATTCCTAGTTGTCATGAAACCACAACTCAACGATTTGGTTTCCTGTCCCACCTCACAACAATACAGTCTGCTCTTCTTGACTGTACACTTTCACTGAGCTCTGTGCATTTGGGGAAAGGGAAGCTCACCTAGGTTGAATCAGGAGTCATTTCAAATATTTGGTTTAAATGTGTCTGGAGGTTCATTTCCCAGATGTTCCAAAGCTTCAGAAATCTACAGTCCTGGCATGTCAGAGGTAGGCAGCCCTGCTGTGAGTACAAATGAGGCACTTACCTCAGAGAGCAGGAACTGAAGATCATGCTGGGAGACAGAGTGGTTTGACACATGGGGTACAATCTACCAGGAAGTTCTCCTGCACAAGCACCACTGAAATGGATGGAAGATCCTTTGTTCCCCATGTTAATTAGTGGGATAGCGGAGAGAGGGTGGCTGCCACTTGGAATTTCTGACATGCAACAGAATATCTTTGGCTGGGGCTGTATCAGGAACAGAGGAAAAGGTAGTAACTGTAGAGAAAGAGATAACAAATACTCGGGGGAGTGACTCATGTTTTGCCCTTTCAGCTCCTAAGGATGAAATCCGGGGAGCAGGCATCCTACGTGGAGATGTCATTTGCTGAACACAAGAAATGTTTGTGCAGGTATGGATCTTTATTGTGGCAGACGTGAGTGTCCTGTACTTTGGGCATCCTGCTAACATAGTTTGAATTCCTGCT